GGGAAAAGCACAATGATAACACCAACATGGGCCAGTGAAGCGACGTCCTCCACAACTAGACTGAAGAACAAAAGGACAGCAACTTGTCTGTCCACCTTCCCCGATTGCCCAATGCTGTTTCCCCTCCCCCAATTCCCCAATTTAAAAAAAAAAATGAGTATGTGCTACCAATAACTGAGACCAGTGTTTTCTAGATAGTAACCTTAATAACAGATTAATTCTGAAAGTTCTGTAACAAGGAGGCTGTAATATTCTAATCTTTTCCCCCTGCATTTTGAATTTAAATAACTGTTTGCTGATTCTTAAGTATAACTCTACAAAGAAACTACTTTCAAAAAATATCTTATTCTGTCAAAGCTGAGTTTACATTCATTTACTGCTTTACTTTTAGCAAAAAAAAAAAAAGTATGATGCTTATAATATGAAATTATTTTCCAACCACAATATAATTAGTCAGCCATGGCTTTAATTAATTCTGTACTAGAGAACTCATTTAACATGTCCGTTGGGAAATCTCAAGGACACCACAACTGGACATTTCAAATTGACCTGTGTCCCACTAAAGGCTGCTCAGCTTTGGTAATTCTCCCAACAGCTCTACTATCCAAATTAGAGAGCCAGAAACTGGGGTATCTTCCACATTTTCCTTTTCTCCTGTATGGTTATGTCAACGCTACCTCTCTCTGTACTGACTACCACAGCTCAATCAGTCCATGTACCCCTTAAGTTTCTACAATTCTCTATTCAGTCTCCCTGTTTGTCTTTATGATTCACCCCTCTGTGCTTCCATCAGCATGTTACAAGACAAAAATCCAAACTCACATCACACTCTTGAAATCCTCCGGCATGTTACAAGTGTCCTCCTCGTTACCACCAGGCTCCTCTCTATCTGTCCAAGCCCTCACATTACACACTTTCTGCCTTAACAGCCAGACGCCCTGTGGTTTTCACCTGTTCCATCTAGCCCCCATCAATACCTCTGCAGAGGCTGTGCCATTTGGTTGCAATGTCCTGCTGCTTCTTGGCTAGAGATTCCCAACTTAAGAACAAGGATTCAGCTGCCACTAGTTCTAGGAAATTTCTTTGACAATCTCCTTCGGTGAAGTTGTTTCTCTCCTTTGGCTACTGTAGCATTTTGGGCAGCATTTACCACTATATCTGATGTATTTCACTTTGGCCTCCAGAGTTAAGACTGAGGACTTCCCAAAGGCAAGATACTACCTCTATAAATCTAAACCTACTACAGTATCTGCAGACTATTATATCTATGTTAATAGCAAGGACTGGTTAACCATGATCCATTTTTAACAGTAACCATCTCTGAAAACCAAAATCCCAAATGAGGTTGTCCAACAAGAGTTAAAGTAATACCAAGTGCTAACTGAGCTCAAGGAAGCTTAACTATCAGGATGGTATGTTTGTCCAGTCACATACGAGTTAGGGCTAATATTTATCCACACCATGTGTTAGCATACAAATCAGCTACTGTTTGGATTTTAGCTCAGTCTGAAAAGGCATTTCAAAGATTTCCAAATGCCAATGTCAAGGTACACTGCCAGTAAAATGTGTGTGGGATTCGTTTTAATGTTATGTGTATTTGTAAAACAAATGTGCAAAGACCACTACTACCTTTCATGAAACAGCTTGGGAATAGTTATATCCCCCTGCAAACCTGTCCATGAGCTCCCGAATGGCAGGGATGCCATCGCCTTTCTATTCCTAGCACACTCCAGCTACTAAATAAAAGTTCACGGAAATGACAATCACTTCTTCCAAGTTTTTGGGTGAGGCTTATGTGGAAGTGCCAAGTGACAAAGGCAGAAGGCAAGGTAAAGTTAATTAAGGTTCTTAGATAAGAAATGTATTGTTTGCCACCAATTCATTTCACTAAGAAACTATTTGAGTGTGGCCAATGCTCACTTTACTTATGTCCTATATGAAAGAGATCAAAACTTAAAGTGATTTCAGAAAGACTACCCATGTAAAGGAGGGACGCTGCATAGGTATGAAAGGTAAAAAAGGTGTTTATCCTTGTGAGTGTGGTCACAGCTATTAAATAAAGCCTGTATCCTAATGGGGGAGGTTTTCAGGTTGCCTGGTTTCACTTGTTTCATATCTCTGGATCATGAAGTGCCCAGGACAAATGTGAGGGAGCATGCTAAGCCTTGTTTCTTTGCTGCCAGTTTTAATCACTTGAGAATTGTCTACCTAATTGGTGAATTATTTCAAGTTCTTTTCTTTTCTTCCCTGAGATGTTTAATCACTTTGGAGCCAAATAACTTCATGAGGTAGTCTAACAGGGAAAAATCAAGTAAGTTTGTATTATAAGGGACTCCAGTAAGTCCTAGGGCTAGGAAATAGGGTTAAAAATTAAAAATTTAGATACTAGAACATTTAAATTTTCCATGCTAATTTGGATAATACACTATCAAAGCTATATGTATACAAATATTCTAATTTGTTGTTATAGTATGGAAAATTCAAACCTGGATATAGTGTATCTATACTGTACATTTCACTTTTTATAAAAATCACAGATTCTATGTACTATGAGTACTGCCTAATTCCTGTTATCCTCTATATCCATATGGTTTTAATGTTAACAATCCCAACTGGAAGGTCATTAATGTATAAAAAGAAATCTTTTTTTTTTTTGGTTCAAAAACCAAACGAAAGAACAGGCACATTTATTTCATATGAGTCATACTCTCTAAACCTAAAATGCCAAAACAAAAGACTAACGTGCACTTAAATATGTATTTCAAGTCTTTGTAACAGAGAAGGGAAATCATTACAAAATTTAGGAATGAGACATCATGTCACTAAAGAGAAAGCTGATTAGACAATGGCTTCCATGTTCCATCTAATGAGATCTGACTACTGAGTCTTAAAGGGTAAAGTAGAATAAACTGCAGACATTTCAGCTCCTTATACTCAATTGTTTCACTAACGAAGACTCACAGTATATATATTTTCCCTATCACTGACAACAATATTTCAGTGATAATACTGGCAGTTTAATATTGGTGATAATAACTAGACAGTGGTTTATCCTGACAGTTTAAAAAATGGAGAATAATTATAAAATACAAAACTCACTCATTTCAGGAAGAATTACACATGTAAGAATTTGAGACCCATTTCTGTTTCAGAAAGAAATAGTCAACAGGAAAATGGATTTCTGATTTTGAATTTCTGGCCCAAATTTGCCACACACTCAAAACAAATTACCTACACCCTATCAAGCTATTATAAAAACTGATGGCATTACAAGAGCGAATCCGTCTATTTCTCTAGCATGCCCAATGAAACAGAAAGAAGGTAGGGAACGAATGGTGCAGTAGGAGCAGCGAAAGGCTCAGGGCTGTGTTGCAGTACAGGCCAGAGGACAAGACATGAAGAGTGCGGCCAGCACAGAATCTTCTATATATACCCTGGTTCTGAAACCACCTGTTTGGGCCTTGGGGCTTTTCTTATTCTTTAAGTACAGCACTCTATATTTCCTAAGAAAGATGCTTAAAAATACATATAAAAAGATATTAAAAATAATAAAATTCAGTTATTCAGGTGAGGTACTTGGATTTATATTTAGGGAATGACAAAATGATATTTGACAAAGTATGGTTTATATTTAACTCTAAAAGGAGGCATAACATTTTAATATAATTTGTTACAAATTTCAGCCCAATGAGTCTTAAATATTTTTGACTCTATGACTAAGTGTTACTTAAAGACATGGCTACTCAAACTAGAATGCCACTTGATAGCCCTGTGTTAATTTTGCTAAACCAAAGACTCACAGCTGGGGCAAAAAAAAATAAAAGAACCGTTTATACTTACCAAGAAAAGCAAACATTTACTTAAAATTGCAGTATAGGCTTTTCAGTCACAAAAAGAAAAGAACAGTGATCTGGCAGTGGTCACATCTTGTGCAAAAAACTTGAGATACAAAAATGGTAACACAAGGTATGTGAGCTGCTTACATTGCAGGAAAAAGGAAACACAGTAGCTGAAATATGGCACTCCTGGGAATCAACTTCTAAACTGAACAGAATGCCTTTGAAATGATTAAATTTATTTGTGTATTAGTAAGAAAGCCCCACCACCATAAATAGTATAATATTTAAAAATTAAAAAAAAATATTTATATCTATCTAAGATAGATAGTGTATTTGTATTGTTAGACCTCTTTAAGTGGTTCAGGTTTTGCCTTTTTTTTTAATTAAATAAATGCCCATATGCTTTATAAAGTTCCACTTAATTGCAAGAGCCAACTTAAATCAAGGAATATGTTATCAAAGTTGCATAATTTCATTTGGGACTGCCAGCAGGTTAAAGTCTCAAATCAAGTCTTTAACATTAATGATCATTTTTAGTCAATGAAAAGTTAAAAAGTTCTTAAATCTTCATTATCCTCTTGAACTTGCCCTTCTAAATGATCTTCAGAATGCAATTCCTAGTTTGCAAATAAAAGAATGCAATATGCATCATACTTCAAGAAAAGACGACGATGTTGAATTAACATGCTTCTGAATCTTTTCCCTGCTTCTTTCAACCTTCTTTATAATTTCTGCCACTATGCACACTGACGAGGTGAGACCCAAAAGAAATAGCAGATCTGTAAGAGAAAATAAACTGGGTTTTACAATTCTTTGAAACTTATAGTTGCAAAGCTTACTAGCTTACAGAATCATCAAATATGATTTGACAATTAACCTATAAAAGATTAGAAGAAAAAATTACAAGAAAAAAACTTATAAAAAAATAAAAGCCTACAGTTAAGAGAATGAGTCCCCTAACTTTTCCCAATGAAGAAATGAAGTACCCTCCTTTTTCAAATCAAGTCCATCACTTTTCCTATTTCACTTTTTAAAAGAAAATTTTTATTAGAACAAATACATTAAAAATACAATTCATTTCAAATATGTAAATTATAAAGATAATATTTTCTTTACCCAGTATACTTAGGCTCTCAGTCTGAAAAACTTTCTGAAGTGGAGGAAAGTAAATAACTAATAACTGTCCCATGATGGATCCAAGAACTGCGTAGCAAAACATTTTATTACTGCAGAGTCCAATCTCAAACACAGACTTGGTCTGTTGGTAGAGGAGAGAGTTCAATTATTACTTCTTGATCACAGAAACAACTACTTTATTATTATATTAACCTCTAATTTTGAATAAGCTGGACTGAATTCTTACAATGAAAAGTACCATAAAGTCTCTTAATGTTAACTATTATTTTGAAATAATTCAGACGGAATAAGGGTAAATTTTAGAGCAGCTTCTCTTTATCAAGAAAGGGCTTTCTTTAAAAGAGTGATGAGATTAAAGACCATAGAAAGAAAGGAAACTTACTTTAGCATTCCAAAACTAAAGGAATGTTATTTGTATATGATTATTTTGCTAATCATCTCTATCCATTCATTAAGGTAGATAATCTAAAAACCTTTCTTGAAGAACGGACCTAGTTACATGTGTACTGAAAAAGTAAAGCTGCCTTTCATAAACAAAAAATGAATAGTATATCATTTTCAAAAATTCGTCTAAATTAATGACAATTCACTGTACTTGGAAAGTTCTATCATGGCAAATGGTAATAGATATAGTTAAAGATTCATAAGGTGCTCTAAAATTCAAATCAATACTCGGGCCTCAAATGGAACTCATTTTAAAAAAAAATTGATCTGAAAAAATACCACCAGGTTTTAGCCCATTATTTTCTATCAAAGTAATTTGATTAAGAAAAGGCAATCACACCTGAAGATATGACATGGGAAGATAAGTAAATTTAAAATGTCCTAAGTTTTGACACACTGATGGAAGTAATGGGAAAAGATGAATATGACAAAATTGTTCTTGTACTTGTAACAATAATTTCTTCTAAAATGAGATTAATACCATCTTGACAGAACCCATGAGGTTTGTCTTACGCTCGGATAATGTTACCTGAATGTATCATAGAACTACAGATAATAAAAGAATGGAAAGGAGAAAGATCAGGTAATAACACCTGTGATTTACTTTCATCTTCTGGTCAAAGGTAAGGCTTATCTCCCCAAATGCCACATCCACATTATGACATGTATGTAAGGCACCCATTTGTAGGAAGACTGTATCTGAGGCTGTAATCTGTGGCTACAAAATCAGACAAAACTAAAATCCCACAATCCTTGCCTACTTACACTTGGAAAGTGCTCTACCCAATTGAATCAGTCACTATGATTACCTAAGCATACCTGGGATCTGGAACTTAGTGCATTGAACATGTCAAAAAACACAAAGCATGTGAAGGTCATTGTTGTGTCTCGAGGTGTTATCACATTGTCTCGTAGCTGTCAAGAGGAAAAATGATTTTCAGTGGCTGAATTTAATGGACAAATACCTCATGTTTTTAAAAGGTTAATCTTTCTTTCCATTAGGATAAAACAGCTTTAGTGTTTTTTTAAGAGCAGTTTATTAAAAGAAAAAGTACGCTTCAAAGAAATAAAAGCTCAAAGGCCCAAAGGGCTAAGGGCAAGGGTCAGGGCCAAGGGCGTCACTACTGAAAGAAAAAGTACACTCCCAAGAGTTTGGAGCAGGCCAAACAAATGGAGCTCAAAAGGCCAGCTTTAGTCTTAAGACATAAAAACATACGAGCTACCTAAATATCCTGTATGCTATTTAAATAAGTCACCTAAAGAATAGCTGTAGTCCTCATAAAGTAAAAAGTCTTCTCACAAACTATATAATGTATAGTAAAACAACTTCTTTTTTGATAACAATGAAGTAGCTATGTCAAAGACTCAGGTTTCCTAACTCCTCCCTAAATTTTCATGTATTTGTATCTGATACGCCTCTGCAGATTTAAATTACTCTAATAAATGAATCAGAAATTCTATTAACCCATAAATATTGAAATTAAACTATTTTTTAAATTGTTTTCATCTTTTTTCAAAGAGCTCTCCTAACTTTCAGTGTTCCATTTAACACACAAAAATAACAGTGTCCTACGATACAGAATGTATGTTAATAAAGCAGCTTATCCAGTGAATATACCTCCCGCCAGAAGACAAACAGAGTCCCACAAACAATGATTATTGATGAAACAAGTATTTTAAGTATCAGGTTTTTGGTCAAAATGCTGTCCTTCCAGTTGCGTGGAGGTTTACGAATGACATCTTTATCCACTGGTTCTACTCCAAGGCTTCAAAACAAACAGAAAAGTGAATTACTTTAAAGTTTTAAAGTTTAAATTTGTTACTTTCACAATTTGATTAACCTCAATTATCCAGAAAACTAAGTTCTTTCTTATAAAAACAAACTAAAGAAAATTTTGGCTATGATTACTCAAAAATAACCACAAATTTACTTGGCAGTTTGATAGGAGGCTGATAGTCAAATTTCAAAAAATTGTCCAATTTCATTTACATGTAAGTTTAGTTATTTCAAATGGTCTGAAGTACATGATCTACCAACTGGACTTTGAAATATCTGTCATGCAAGAAGTTTCGACTACAATGATTTGTTGTAATGGCCACTGACATGTATCTACTCTGTGTTGGGAAGTGACATCTATGGCCCCATTATTATAAAAGAAAATACTTAGAATACTTAGGTCCTTCAACACTTTTCCAAAGACTCTAACATTGACAACAGGGCTTAGATAATAACACTAAACTCAAAGATTTCTCCATTCATACCAGAATTAGAAACAAAAAGCTTCCTTCTCCTGAGGCTTGTACTGACCTGTTCTCAACTTAAGGCTGGGCATCTAATACCGTGTAAAGGCTCAGATCCATAAGGCATGAATGAGTGCCCCAAGAAAACAAATGATATGCACACATCAATCTATAACAAACATGTTGCTGCAAAGGTTTCTAATGCTATTCATGAATGAAGTCTTAAAACTTAATTATCAGGATATCATGCCTTCTTTGTCTTTCTAGTTTAAGAAAAAACTCTTACCTCTGAGCTGGCGGTCCATCCATGATAATATTGATCCACAAAATCTGCATGGCATTGAGAGGATTAGGAAAGTTCATTAATGTAGCCAATGAGATTAAAGTTAATGCTGCTATACTCCTGTTGAAAAAAGAGTCAATTTTTAAAATTCTATCAGCATAGTATAATTCTTACTAATTTTCAGATATTGAATTTTTAACATTAAAAAATGTTACCACTGTGCTTTTAAAGAAAGCCTATATTTTCAAGTAACCTGTGCTTCATTCCTGCGAATATTTTGAAGCCAGGAGTTAACCCTTACAATCCACAGTATTTTAAAAAAGGATTTTCAAGATGTTTAGATAAAAACAATAAATGGATATTTTTTTAAATTGAATTCAGAATAGCTGTTGTTACGTAACAGTTAACAGTTTCAAGAATATTGTGGTAACTGTTTTTTGACTATAGAAAAGCCCTTTTAGTTTTGGAAAAGAATACTAAGAGGAAACATTAAGATTTGCCACCCCTTCCTTAGTTATTAAATAAACCACAAAGGTTTATATATTATGATGGCGACATAGATAAATCATCACATTTAGCACCTATTAATCATGCCATTTTTTATTTTAGAATTTTCATTTGGAAAACTTACATATGAAACAACCCTCAGAAAGAGAGCCCAGAAGCTTCTAGGCATTCTGCTTGAATTCTACTTTTCATCTAATTTATCTATAAGACCTATGATGACAAATTTCTTACAAACTTACGTGCTCAGCTGGAATCTAACAAAATTTTTAATGTTATTATAAATCCCTTTACCCTCTTCAATTGCAGACCTGAAATTAAAAAAAAAAAAATTAAGTGAGAAAATATCACACAAAAATAAAGATATATCTTTACTAAAACACCATGGAACTAATTTTGAAAACAAATTTCCAATTGATATGACACATACATCACTGAAAGAATCTATTCTTTTCTTCACGTAATTAAGATTAGAAAAATATATGGAAACATCATTCTAGCAAGGAATTAAAGTCAAGCCTGCCTGCTAAGCTCCACCTGAACTAATTTCATTATACAATATTAAAATTCTTATTCTTAAGAAGATATTTCAAGCTAAAATCACATATTGTCTTTCTACACAAGAGATAATACTACATACTTATAATACTACAATAATGATCTTCTTTACCCACATTTATTTTTCTTAAAGGTACAAGATGAATGTATGGTAAAGGGGTACATTAAATGTATATCAGGAAATAAATATCAATGAAATATATACGAATTATAAAATTGAAGCTACCTGTTGCTCCTATACACAATTAGATACGTGTTGTAGCAGAATTATATAAGGAAAACGGTTTACAAAGATTCATTTAAATTCTGTCATTCATTTCATTGAATCTAGGAAAATATGTGTTTTTTTTAAACAATTTGTTCTTTCTTTCAAGATTTTTAGACAATTCTAAGAATGGAAAAAAAGTCTTATTTCCTTGTAAGAGCTTGGGAATTCGGAGTCCTGAGCTCCCACACGCTCCTCTTTGGGCCACAATGGCTTAATGAAGCACCATGAGGGATATAATTAGCATGTGTCACTGAACTAAGACTCAGATTGGTACATAGGTGATTATCAAAAAAAAACAGGATTCAGCTGATCCCCACCTGAACAGCGTGAAACTGACACCACCAGGTATTACATAAGAATCTTAAATCAACTAGAAATTGTGGCTGAAACAGACAAAGCTCCTAGAACTTCACAAATTGCATCCTTGACAATGTGATCAATTACTGATATAAAGAAATAAGTATGGATGGGAACTTGATTATTTTTGATACTTAGTGTAAGGCCATGCATATTTATATTTCTAATAGCCTGAATTCAACTAGAATAAAGGCCCAATGAAGGTTCACTGCTGTACCACCATACTTACGGCCCAAAAATGTGACACTTGATTGGTACTCAGTAAATATTTCTTAAATGAATGGTCCTGCCATTTATAAATAATTTTCTCCAAAATTACACATTATGACATAAAATAAGATTAATTGATATAGTAAAATAGTTTAGTTCATCCAATGTTTAAATACTGCTAATTCTTTTCCACTTGAATTATCTGCCGATGGGGTGCAAGAAAAGATGGGAGAAGATTCTCTGATGTGAATCAGAGAACACTGAAAATCAGTATTCAGTGGAATAATGAAACAGAACTTACATTATGGTTTGGAAATCGTCATCCACCAGGATCATGTCCGCTGCCTCTTTGCAAACATCTGTGCCAGTCTGACCCATTGCGACACCAATGTCTGCAGCCTTCAGAGCAACTGCATCATTTACTCCATCTCCTGTCATGGCTACAACCGACCCACTCTTCTGTAGAGACTATAGTGGGGGAGGGAAAAGGGTGGAGGGAGGAATTCTGATGAAAATGTTGCTTCCACACAGATAAAAGGATAAATGAATTCTATTTTTTTCGCATAATTACAATTAGAAACAATATAGACCATCAATTTTTCAATATATTTCAACATACTGAGATCTTAAGATAAAGCTTAGAAAAAGCTGCTATTAATATTAATATTCCCATGTGTGAGAACTATACGTGTAAACTCTGATCTAGAGTCTATACAGTGTTCCTCAGGGGCAATTTTGCCTCCTTGTAGACATTTGGCAATGTCTGGAGACATTTTTTATTGTCATGACTTGGGAGGTGCTACTGGCACCTAGAGCATAAGGGTCAATGATGCTGCTAAACATCCTAAAATACACAGGACAGCCCCTTACAATAAAGAATTATTCAGTCCGAAATGTCAATAGCGAAAAACTGAACTAATACAATGGAGGACTATGGTGATTAATGACTTGAGTCCATTAACTAATGGATACTATGTCAGTTGCTCTGTATATATTTGAGTACCGTATTATGCTGTGTATAATGCGCTCCCATGTACTAAGTGCACCCACGTTTTTGGCCCCAACTTTCAGGGGGAAAAAATCTTGTTTTAGTTTTTCAATTTAAAGTTTTATTTGTTTACATTTAGGTACTTGTTTTTCTGTATTATAAAGGAATTTTAGCATTTATTTTTTAACATATTATGGTACAAAAAATTTTATGTACAGGTAACACATTTACAATATTTACGCATCACAGAAGGCCAAGAACTCTTTGTTGTTGCAAGTTTGTCAAAAGTTCAACAACACCAATTATCGTATCCCAGGGTATTATTTTGTATACAGATATCGTTATTGATTTCTAGACTTATACTTTTAACTTATAGCATAAATAAAAGAATTAAAAACATTTATAGAGATTATGAATTAGTACTACCCATGTATAATGCGCATACTTATTTTTCCCTCACAAATTTGGGCCAAAAAGTGTGCATTATACACGGCAAAATACGGTACTTAGTATACATAACCTTTTAAATATTCACACATAACATTTTTTTCTTGATGTATTTATTCAGTTTCTAAGTAATTGCTGCTATTCACACTGGGAAGATTTTGCTATGAACTCCTGTCAGAATATACTTCTACATCATTCAATTGTTTAAAGAAGGCTGTATTTGCAGATATCTAATTGAAGTTTCCTTCTACATCCTTCTTTGCTAATTAAATTCTCTATTAGTATTTCAATTTCAGGTTCTAAAAAGAGAAAAAAAATCACCCTCTTTGCATCATAGTACTTCTGACTTTAATGCTCTATCAAGTACTCCTAGTAATGAAAGACAAGCAGCCGCATCTTGGATATAGAGATTAAACAATCTGATTCTTAGAAACCCACCTTAATAATTTTCATCTTGTGCCTTGGGCTAGCTCTGTAAAATACCGCAACCTGTTAAAATACAAGGTACATTAAAAATCTTCAATGTTAAGGAATATCAGAATAACCCATGCACTTATAACAATGATTTTTTAAATTATCAATTTAAACTATATTTGCTAGAGATTAAGCTTAAGCAATATGCCATATGTTTGTTAAGACACTCATTTGACACAGTCATTTCAAACTTTATCAAAGGAAATACACAACCAAGTTACTGATTTATCCTCTTATGTTCAAGCTCTGAAGAGAAAACAGCCTTATTTTTGAAATGTTTCAGAGTAAGAGAAAGGAAAAACTCTCTTGCTACTGTTTACTCATGACACTGGCATACAACTAAAATGGCCTCTTCCCTTTGTTGCCTTCAGGGAAGATAAAGAACAACTATTTCTCAATGTCTGTAGGACACCACTACCACCACCACCTTTTTTTTAGTGTCAAGTGTCTGCTCATTTTCTTTTATTCAGGAAATTTATTAGGATCTATTCCACTACATCTCCAACTGCTCATGTGAGCTTATCTCTTCAAACTATATATTTAATCCCTTTTTCTGATCCCATCTCCTGGCCTCCTGAAACCTTTTCACTGTGCCCCAAAGTCAGTCATCAGTCATCAACAAAATTCCCTGTAACCTCCCCTCTTTTCCACATTGCTCTAATTTAATTTTTCCACAAAACATGGGCCATCCCTATAGTCCTCTCAAACAGTACCATGACAAGAGCCTGCGGGGGAGGGGTAGGTATCCTCCATTCTCCCTTCTTTATTCATAAAACCTCAGTTTTTAATGTTATGTGCAACTGTACTTCCCTCTAACTGCAGGCATTCTCTGCTCCAGAGGTCACTCCCCCACGTTTCACAAAGATTTAAGCTTCTGCATCACTGTCACTCTCTCCAACACTTCCAAGTCATGGTGATTTTAATATCCATATAATACACACCATTTTTTTCCCCACTCTTCTAGAGGATTCATTCATACTAGTTTTCTCTCCTCATACTTCCAATTTATCCATTATTCCAACCTTACTCTTGGCTGAAAACCTTGTTTCCTACTTCAAAAACAAACACAAAAAAAAACAGAATCAGAAGAGAAATTGCACAATTCCCAGCATCCAGTATCTGTACCCAGGCACCATCCTTGCCTTCTCTCCTTTTACTACAGATGAACTGAATATGCTCCTAGTAGGTGAAATGTTCTACCTTCTTACCTATTTAACATCATTGCTCCAGAAATTCTACCCCTCTTACATCAAAATTTTTCCTCACTACTGCATCTTTACCTTTAACTTACAAACATGTTGTTACTCCTTTCATTTAAATAAAAACAAAAACTTCCCTTCCCATTTCAGCTGCCACTTTACTTTTCCCCTTTATAGCAGACTCCTCTAGGGAACTGCCCATCCTTGCTGTCTCCCATTTCTCTCTTCCCGTTCTCTCCTGAATCCATTTCAACCAAGTTGTTAACCCCACCACTGCACTGAAACCCCTCCCTACTCAAGAGTACCAGAGACCACCCCACATGGTTAACAACACTAACGGTCATTTCTCGTCTGACTCAACCCCGCAGCAGCACCCTAACAGAGCTGCTAACTCCCTCCTTCCGAAACACTGTCTTCTCTTGGGTTCCATGACCACCCTATACTGTTTCTGGTCTTCCTCCTACCTTTCTGGCTGCTCCTCTTGTGCCCATTCCTCTGGACCTCCCTGAAGTCTGAATGTTGGAAGTATTCCAGGACTTAGTTCTTACTCTTCTCTATAAGAAGTCAAAGATCCCCTACTTCTCCCTAGGTGAGCTCATCCAGTCTTACAGACTTGGATTTTATTGATACTCGTATGCATTTTTATCTCCAGCCCAGACATCTCTTCTGAAATCCAGATGGATGTAACGAACCCACCTACCTACTCCATATTTTCTTGGATGTCTCATCTCAGACTTAAACATATCCCAAAATGAACCTGTTATTTCCCCAAAATGTGGTTCCTCAAATCCTCTGCTAATAACAAGTACATCCTTGCAGTCGCTCAGACTCTAAATGTTTGGAGCCAGCCTTGATTCCTCCTTTTCTCACATATGCCACAGACAATTTAATGGCAAATCCTATTGGCTCCATTCTCAAATATAACCAGAATATGACTACCTTACTTACTCTAAACCCAGTGCCAACACCCTGTGCCAATATCTCTGAATTGATTTTTTAAATTTCGGCCCTTGCCTCCTACTGTCTATTCTCAACCCAGTGGCTAGAATGAAACTGTTAAAACAAAAGTCAAACCACATCTGTCCTCTGCTCAAAACCCTCCACCATCTCTTCCAGAACGAATGCTACAGTCTTTTATTATCTATCCCAAGTCCCCATGAAGTATATGTCCTCTCCCCCCTCATTAATTTTTTTCTCACTCCTCACTGTTTCAGAAATATGCGAGGCACACTGGCCTCAAGGTCTTTGCCCTGTGTTCCCTAGATGTGGAATGTTCTTTCCTTAGATATTATATGGACTGCCCTTTTGTCAAATAGTACCTTCTCAGTGAGGCTTTTTTCTAGTCATGTTATCTAAAAATTTTAATTCCCTCCTAATCTTTCATCTCTCTCTTCCCTGCTTTTTTCCAGTGCTCTTTAGCACTTATCTAACATAATATATACATTTACTTAAACTATAAGTTCCCTGAAGGCACAGATTTTTGCCCTGTACTTCCAATGCTCTATAAATGAATACAAAATGAACAAATAAATGATTGAATGAATCTTAATACCATCATAAATACTGTTCCCAGATTATATCCCAATTTTAATAAAGGTCTAAAACAAAAGAGGATTGTTTTCTTAAGCAAAAGACTTAGTTTAACTGTAATATCACGTTACTGATTATCCCTAGGTCCTCCAGGTACCATGATTTGCATAACTTATATTTGGAGAATCTTCTTCCTTGTAAAAAAGTTCAAAAACCAATTCAGAAACTTTTTAATGTGTCTTTAAAAATGACTGGTTACCTTCTAAGTGAAATTCTACATTACTGCAGAAATTATTCATGTAGCACACAGCACTGAAGAACAAGAGTGTTGAGCAAAGGCTGCGGATATTAAGAATATTTAAATAAAAGCTAATTACAAATATTCAAGTTGTACAGAGTAAAATTTTGCCTTTGTTCTGCTGCAAATCATTTGAATCAATGCACATGACCATCTTATAGTCACTGCAGGTTATTACTGACAATGGCAGTCAGGATGACAAGCCAACTATTGGACTGAAAGAGTATTTATTATATAATTAACAAATTACTTGACATGCATCCAGTACATCTATTACTTAAGATTTAAGCATTTCAAAGCTTTGATGACAACTCAAAAGTAACAGCAGCCACTGTGAGACTAAGCACATCTCAGTGCAAAGCTGAAGACTCACTTAGTATTTTGCATGTGGTGCATAACACTGCAGAGTAAACTGGTTCTTAAAGTACCAGAATGAGCAGGTCAATCTTTTTAGTTGAGTAAAAATATTGAAATCTAGTGGACAAGAAATTATGGCCTGAAGAAATTAGGTATTTAAAAAAAAAGAACTTAGGGGCCAGCTGAGTGACTCATTGGTTAAGAGTTTGCTTGGGAGCCTGAGCCCTGAGCAGCAGAGCTGCTGGTTCAGATCCCACATGAGGGCCAGTGACACTGCCCTCTACAGCTAAGATGCTGAACAACAACTCGACCTGGAGCTGGGCTGCTGTGAGTCACCGGCAACGGCGTAGGCTGCAGCCCCTGCTGCAGTGGGCTGCCGTAAGCTACCGTGAGTGGCCGACAGCCAGCGAGAGCTACCATGAGCCACCATGAGCGGCCGTCCAATGGCCGGTGACTGATCTGCCTCGCTCAGGAAGAGCGCAATGATAATACCAACATGGGCTAGTGAAGCAACGTCCTCCACAACTAGACTGAAGAACAAAAAGACAGCAACTTATCTGTTCCCCTTCCCCCAATTTCCCAGCGCTGTTCCGATCCCCCCAATGCCCCAATAAAATCTTTAAAAAAAAAAACTTAGAAATGACTAAAAATTGAATTATATCTCTATATCACAGAGCTAAGATTAAACTTGAAGGCAAGTGAATTTTGTCTATTAACAATACTTTCACCTTTATGTCTGTTTTTCAGCCTAAAAAAAGGGAATATACTGATTAAAGGTAAACACATCATAAAATCATTACAGTCTGGGAGCAGGAAGGGAGCAGATAGGATGAGGACAACAGGATGGGAAAAAGAAGAACTTTGTCAGAAAAGGAGAGTGTTTAGAGAATAATATGGGAGGAAAAGGTAAAAATCATTAAGGGGAGGGGAAGAGCTATGTATTTTCAGGAGACTGCAAAAGGATTTTTCTCTTTTCATGGGTCCTTATTTTCAGTTTCATATTCTGTGTCAGTACTCACAGTTTTTTTGATCAACATTAACAGAGAAGGTGTACTAGGGAAAAAAACTTATGAAAAGAATAAAGTAGAAAAATATTAAAGGCGAGGTTAATGAAAAATATGTGTTCCTGGCATTAAAATAACCTGCCAAAGGTCCCCAAATCATCCAAGACAGATAAAAAGACACCTGATGTAGTGAAGAAAAAATAGGTGACTGAAATAAGTATTTACAACCTACCAAAAATTCAGCAGTACACAAATTTAGGTTAACAGGTTTGACAGAAATATAAATGGCGGTACTGCTATGAAAAACAAAAAACAAAAGAGGATGTCCAGTTTTATCAATGGGAAATTTAGGACACACTGAAGAAATCATACACAAAAAACAATAATAACTCCCAAATGGACTTTATAAATAATTAAGCAAAATTCAGCTTCCATACTACTGTTTAACTGGTTCCTAGTCAAAAGGACAGAGCAACGTTAAGAGATTTGAAATGTGTGATTAAATTATAGAAAGAGAAAGCTAAAAAGTATTTTAATGAGGAACAGAATTAATATGATTTAGAATATGTGGGTAAACCTTAGTGAGCTAGCAACACAGAAGAAAAGTTTTGTTTTTAACACTAATAAAAGAAAAGCTATTCAAAGCGATCTGAAGTAAAAACATAAGACCAAGAATACATGTTGGCTATAAGAGAGTTACATAAACACAAGATGAAGCGGAAAAAAGACAAAGATGTGGCTGTGGGGTGGGGATACTGGCAGGTGGCGGGGCGGAGTCTAGCTAAGCTCAAAGGACTAAAAAACATTCATTAATATTATTAAAATACCAGGAAGCAAGCCCTGCTATTTATGGAATTCCTCTTTAGGATGACTTAAGCAATTCAATGAGTTTCTCACATGGCTTAGGTTTTATATTATTTTAGAGTCTTTAGAATAACATCAGGGTATCGGCCATAATTAATGCACAAAAACTCTTATTTGAAAAAGACCAATAATGTAGTTTATCTAGCTTGACGAGGTAATTTGTAATTTGTTTCCTTCTCTAACAACCTTTAGGTTTGTTTTCAGATCACTGGCATTTTTATCAAAGAGCCAGAGAGTGAGTGAACTGAAGAAAGCAAATAAAATGAAATTTCAAATCTGTCAGCTTTACTACTTGTGAGCATCTCTGGGAAAAGGTTTGGAAGAAAAGGTTGAACAAAGGTCTAATGGGGAAATGTTTAATTAACTGTAGATTTCACATATATTTACTAGTGTACTTTCTGTCCCAATACTCCCAGGAACCTAATACAAGATTTACTCTTTCAGAAACAAATGTCAGAAAGAAACCTCCAGGGTAGGACACATAAAAAGTCCCGTTCAAATATGAAAGCACCTTCTCCTCTAAACCTGAAACAAAGCAAACGCCCACACTGCTAGCATATGCTCGCGTATGAAAACAGCATTCATGAGTGTCTAGAGCTTGAAAAAGAGAAAGAGAAAACGTGGATGAGCAAAGCAGTGCATTTCTACTAGTAACTACATCGAAAATCTACCCACAAGGGAGATTGAAGGCCTAGGGACTTAAAGCTACCACATGAAGTGCCCTTTGTGAAAATAGGAACTAAAACCTTTTCAGAGGATAATTCATCAATATGTGTTAAGAGCTTTACAAATATGTTGACCATTGGTCCAATTATTTCACGTGTAGGAAAATTAATTCTACAGAAACAATCAGAATTGGGCACAAAGTCTTATGTACAATAATGTTCAATGAATCAGCAACAGATGATGAACTGTGGATTCACACAGACCTGGGTTCTTTCCAGTCCCAATGCAAATGCCACCCACTCACCAGCTCTGTCTTAGTTAAGCTCCCAAATTCTCTGGGACTCAGTTTCCTCATCTGTAAAAATGGGGTTGCCTATCTTTTACAAGATGGCTATCAGGATTAAGTAGATAATGTATGTAGCATATGTACTGCCTGGCACATTGTAAATGGTTGCTACTGTTATTATCCTTAAAGCATTATTTACAGAACAAAAAATAAATGGAAGCTCAAATTTCAACAAGAAAACGATTATATAACCATATAGTTGTATGTGTTTATACACATAGATTATAACCAAGCAAAATATTCTACAGCCATTAAAAACATGTTTTATAATAATAGCTACTGATTTAAGGAATGTTGAAGTTACATTAAATAAATGTTTCAGGTTTATAACACTATAAAGTACCAACCAGATTTTGTTAAACACATTTAAACAACACAGGTTTTGTTAAACACATTTAAAAAAAGACATGGGTTAACATATTATTATTTTGGATGCTCTGTGGGTACAAATCTTCTGAGTATCTGGATTATATTACAGGGAGCTTGCATTGTAGCTCTTACTTTTCTAGGTTTTCCAGTTTTTCAACAATGAACATACACTACTAGTAAATACTCTAATGAGAAAAATTATTATAAAATAATTTAAGAAAATTCAGTGTTCTAAATATATAACTTGCAGTTGTGAGTGCCAAATAAGTAAAGAAGAAGGTAGCACATTTTAATACTGTCAATGGATAGCCAGATAATGTCTAGTGAAATAAATGCCAGATGATAAGCACTTATTTTAAAAGACATACAACTATATGTGCATAAACAGACAAGTAACAACAAGGACAAGAAATTCCAACTGTCAATAACTGGGATGCAAAAATATATCCTACCTCTTATGGGACCCTTCCTATAGGATTTGTGTACCCACAAATCAGGCTTTTTTAAGCCCCCACAAAGCATCCCAAGATAATAAAATAAGTTAATCTCACAACAGGGAACATGGCTCTAAAGAGGATACTGTATTGTGTGTGGGTCAGGAGATACATATCTCCCTATAAATAATTTCTCAAAAAAGCATTACAATCAAAGATAAAAAGGCAATTCAATAAAGAAGTCTTTCTGACAATTAATGCTAGAACAATTGAACATCCATATATAAAAAATGAATCTTAACCCATTTCTCACATCATATACAGAAATTAATTCAAAATGTATCACAGACCTTAGTGTAAAGCCTAAAAATATAAGACTTCTAGAAAAAAATATAGGAAAAAAATCTTAGTGATGTAAGGTTAGGCAAACAGTTCTTAGATAAAGTATCAAAAGATGATCCATAATAGAAAAATATAACTGGACTTTATCAAAATTTAAAACTTTAGCTCTTTGAAAGACAGTATTAACAGAATAAAAAGATAAGCCACAGACTGGGAAAAAGATTTCAAATCAAACATCAAAATTCAATAAGAACACAAACACAATTTTTCAAAAATAGGCAGGGCAGACACTTCACTAAAGAAGATATATAAAGAAGGCAAATAAGCACAAGAAAAGATACTCAACATCATTAGCTGTGAGGAAAATGCAAATTAAAACCACAAAAAGATACCATTATATAACTATCAGAATGACGGTGGGATAACTGACAATCCCAAGTGCTGGTAAGAATGCAGAGCAATTAGAACTTTCAAACATTGCTGATGGGAATGTAAAATAATAAAGCCAGCATGTAAAGCAATTTGGCAGTTTCTTACAAAGGTAAACATACATTAACCATATGACCCAGCAATTACTCTTAAGTATTTACCCAAGAGAAATAAAAATTTATTTTCATGCAAAAACCGATACATAAATGTTTATAGTAGCTTTCTTCATAATTCGCAAACATTGGATAAATTCAAATGTCTTTAAACTAGTCAATACATAACATACACCCATATAGTGTAATACTACTCAAAACACAACAATACATACATACACACAACCAATATGGATAAATCTCAAAAGCGTTATGCTAAGTGAAATAAATAGATTCAAAGTTTTCATACTACCCAATTCCATTTTTAGAGCATTCTGAAAAAAGCAAAACTATAGGGACAGAAAACAAATCAGCTGCCAGTGCTGGAAGTACAGGGAGGAGCTCACTACAAAAAGGCACAAGAGAATTCGGAAGTATGATGGAATCATTCTGTATCTTGATTGTTGTGGTGGTTACAAGACCCCATGTCAAAACTTAGAACAACAGTACATTAAAAAGGATAGATTTTACTGTATGTAAGTAAATACCTCAATTTTCAAAAAAAGCATTACATATTTATGCTACAATTAAAATAGAACAAAAGGGTAAGAAGTACAAAGTAAGGGTCTCTCTCCACTCTTTATTTTATAAATACAGTACAGCCACTGTTAATTTATGTAGCACCTTCCTCAGGGGAAACTTGATTTTTGCTAAAGTTAATAAACTTACAATTGATAAGTCATAATGATCCCATCACAAATACTCTCAATGATAAGACTGACTCAAGGATAAGATTTCATTTCATGATTTGGACCAACAAATTTGGTAGTCATGTCCCAACTGTTCTCAAATAAACAGTTTCATTAAGATAGCAGGAGAAATGGTAACACTTAGAGTAAGGCCTTCAGTTTAAAAGGCTTTAGTTTAGGCCTACCTTTGGTAGTATTTGTGAAAGCTGCTGGACATCCATTGCATCTATTTCTTCTCCTGAGACTGACTGGGAAGTTTTGGAATATAATCCCAGACGACTAGCTAAAGTGAAATGGGAGAAAAAACATAATTAACCAAATTGGTTCTGTTTGATACGCTAGTCGACATAATGCTCAGTTAATGCAATTTGTTATCTACCCTCTTTCTTTTAAGTATAAAATGCATTTATATTCAGGGATCACAAGACTAACTACTAGTAAGACAAACCTATTTGAAATAATAAAGTCTGGGGATTTCTGTTTGACATTTTTGTTTAAATTTAAGAATCAAGAGTTTTCACAATTTAACCCATCAATCCTAAGAACTGAAACAAGGGCAATCAGGTTTTGCCCAGCAGCTCAATTTTTACCAGAGTACATTTTAAATACCCAAAGCCAAACAAAATGGTGGTAATCATGTAGTTGCATGTAAATGAAAATTAATGCTGAAAGATTTGTCTAGGTACAATCTTTCCAACAATGTTATGTTTCTAGAGACATTGTCTTCTTAGATAACATAAAATGTGAAATCCTGTCCCAGTCTCTCTCCATGTTAATAAAATCAGAATTACTGGACTTTACCAAACTGCTTAAATTTATCAGTATGAATTACAGTTTACAGGCTCTGAGATTAACTTTCATGTTCATTTTTTTACCTTTTACTTCTTAAATTAATTGTAAATAGTATCCAAACGACATTTGCATATATACAATGAGGCAACAGAAACACAGGTACAAGTTATATTCTTTTAAATTGTGTATAAGTCTGCTTTGAAAATGATACTCAAGTTGAATGGAAAAACTAAATTTCATGTTTTCTTTTACATTCATGATTTAGTGCTTTTATCCATCAGCATAGTGAATTATGAAGTTAAAAGTAACCAACTATCCTTTAGTGAATAAAATACTATATGTGATTTCAGTTATGTCTTTTCATTCAATACTACTTTAAACTAAAATATATCTTGGCCTACAATTTTATATAGTCTGAGCAAACAAAAGAGTCCATTTCAATTGTATAATCTCAGTATTATGTAAACACATTTCATGTCTAATGGTTCACAAAACTATGCACAGCAGTAATTTTTTAAAAACTAACAAAAACAAAAGGAAGCAGCGTAGTTATACCGATTGCAACTGCAGTCTCCTGTGAGTCTCCAGTAATCATTTTTATCGATACTCCGGAGGCAATGAGTGTTGTAACAGCTTCTTTCACACCAGTTCTAGGAGGATCAATGATTCCCACCAAGCCAAGAAATGTCAGCTGTCCCAGTTCAGGACCAGACGCCAAAGCAAGAACTTAGGAAATAATAATAAAACCCCAAAAAGAAAACATGAGTCACAAAAACATCAGAATGTACTTGACAAAAGCAGAAGATAGCAACACTTTGCAAATAAATCACTTAAGACTATAATGTCATTGTAGTTATTATATAATCTTTAAAAACCAAAATTATTGCACATTAAGACATTATAGTGTTAGTCCTAGATATGGGGTTGCTTTAAGCTATTAAACATTAAAACAAATAACTAGAAAACTGTTGAGAAGGCAAGTGAGGAGCTAATAAAGAATGTTTTCACAGAGTAACCACATGCAGCTCCTTTCAGCATAAACTATTGGCTCTGTAGAAAATGCAATTAATTATCTGGAGAAATTATAGGTTTGTTTAGCTTTCAAGTCAATTTTAAACAGACATCTCTGAAGGTGGCTTCTACTAATGTTATCTTCAGCATTCTGTTTTATAGTCTCCAGAACAATTCAATAGCTTGTAAAGAAGGCTATATTAATTAATTATAAACATGTAACAATTTCATACATGACAAACCTTGGGAGATAAAGTTAACTGTAAAATGACTGTAAAACCACTAACACCAACAATAATTTGGTGTCTTTCCCTCTTTCCATAACATTAAAAGGTATTTCTTATTTGTAACTTGGTTCTCTAAGAGTATATAAATAATACCACCCTATCATTATTTATAGTTAGCTTTCTGTCATACCTGGTCACTTAATACATATAGCACAAAGTATTGTTCATTTTTAAATATCACATAGCTTATTCTCTGGAACTTCTCAAAACTACCTTATGAGCTAAAGGGATGTGTATGTGTCTCCATCTGGGATATTATTAAACTGAAGAACTTACCAAAGAAACACACAAAAAAAGCAAACAAACTAAACATATTTATCTCATGGAAAAACTGAAAAGTCCCAGCAAGACCACAGGAATACCATTCTTATTCAAGCAGAAGGTACTGAGGATTAGATATATTTGGAAAACCAAGGTTAGAGGCAAATAACTTCTATTTTTCCAGTGTAAGAGTCATATAGCTAACTATGTATGGAGATGTGGGCCCCAAAGGCTTTCACCCTGGAAGGAATGAGCCATGTGACAGTGCCTGGTATTGGAACAGGTGCAGATGGCAACAGAATGGGGCAGTATCAGTTTGTGTCAGTAAATGGTAAGAAAGAGAGATCAGCTTTGGGCACTCTCAACAGAGGGGTGGTATTAGCCTAGAGGTTAGTATCTTACATTTATTTGTTTGCTTTAGAACAAATGAAGATCTACTGCTACTGTTTAGGACAAGAGTAGGCAGACCTTTTCTGTGGAAGAGTCCCTAACTAAAACGTAAAAACAAACATATTCTATGGGAGACAATATTCACCAATGATACAGCCAATGAGGTGCTAATATCTGAAATTTATAAAGAACTCATACAACTCAACACCAAAAAAACCCCCAAAAACCAAAAAAAACCAAACCCACTAAAAAATGGGCTGAGGACCTGAATAGACATTTCTCCAAAGAAGACATACATATGGCCAACAGACATTTGAAAAGAAGCTCAATGTCATTAATCAGAGAAATGCAAATAAAAACCACAATATGATATCACCTCACACCTGTCAGGAAGGCTATCATCAATAAATCAACAAACAAGTGTTGGTGAGGATATGGAAAAAAGGGAACCCTCATGCATTGTTGGTGGGATTGTAAATTGATGCAGCCATTATGGAAAATAGTATGGAGGTTCCTCAAAAAATTAAAAATAGAATTACCTTATGACCTATCAATTCCACTTCTGGGTATTTATCCGAAGAAATCCAAAACACTATTTCAGAAAGATATATGCACCCCTATATTCACTGCAGTACTATTTACAATAGCCAAGATATGGAAGCAACCCAAGTGTCCATCAATAAGCGAATGGATAAAGAGGATGTGGTATATGTATACGATGGAATATTACTCAGCCATTTAAAAAAAAATGAAATTTTACATTTGTGACAACATGGATGGACCTAGAGGGTATTATGCTAAGAGAAGTAAGTCAGCCTGAGAAAGACAGATACCACATGATCTCATTTCCATGTGGAATCTAAACAACAAAATAAATGAACAAACAAAACAGAAACAGACTCATAGATACAGAGAACAAACTGAAGGTTGCCATGGAGGAAGTGGGTTGGGAACCTGGGTGAAAAAGATGAAGAGATTGAGAAATACAAATTGGTAGTTACAAAATAGTCACAGGGATGTAAAGTACAGCATAGAGAATATAGTCAGTAATGTTCCAACAACTATGTATAGTGTCAGGTAGGTACTAGACTAATAGGCGGGATCACTGCATAAATTATATAAATGTCTAACCACTATGCTGTACACCTCAAACTAATATAAAATAATACTGAATGTAAAAAAAATTTTTAAATCTGTTCTGAAATTAATAAAACATTCTTCAGTTACCTCAGAAAAACACAAAACCATATTCTAAGTTCAAAATTAAGAACCATATGTATTTTAAGAAACAAGTTTTATAAGATGCAACATCAGTACAAGTTAAATTTAAAATCTTTCTGTTCTTCATTATGGTAATTTCACAGGGAGGAAGAAAATGGTACACAAGAAAGGAAGCAGAAAAAACAAGAAGCAAGAGCCAAATGGCCGGAATATTTCCCAAAGCCCTACGCAACCAAAATTTTTCTCCTCTACCAATTTTGGTCTATTTCACAATGTTACAACACCAAACCACTCATGTGCAATCCTCCACAGTCCTCCAGATAAAAAGAGTTAGTCAGAATTTTAAAAATGTGAAACTTATGCTCCAAAACACGAGGAAAACAAGGAGCACATATCAGACCTTTAAGACTTCAGGGTTTCTAAATCCAAGCCAACTTTGAAACCCTCTTACTGTGAGCTGCTAAGAACAAAACCTTGCCCTCAAATAAAGCCACAAAAATACCTTTCTAAACCTGTAAATGAGGAAGTCCTATAAATCTACACAAATGATTAATACCCACAAAAAGCCCTTGCTTAAGTGAACCATGAGTAAGAAAATTAACATAATTTGTTTCCTACTCCCAGGAATTGCAGTGCTTGACTTTTGCTTTGTAAAAACAAAATTAAAGAAGCCAACTCTTCCAGTTTCCTTGAGAGAGACTATGTAAAGTGTGTGTGCATGTGTTACCCATAAGCCAGATGACTATCCAGAAGGTAAAAACCAGGTCTGGCCCTAACCCTTGCCTCTTCAATCCTACACGTGATGTCCCTAGGAGAAGTGGCCTGACGTGTGTGTGCACAGCAGACCCTCTCACCGCATCATGTTTAGTGAACAGCACATCCATAAGCAGAACCTGGGTACTTCTTTACCTCTCTGGTGAATGCCAAGGGAAGAAGTCACCAGAGGAGGAACGAGTAAGCAATCACCTTAGTATAAAGGACAAATTAGAGGCTTTAAGACTTCAATATTTAGGGGACTAGTTTAGATCTATTAAATAAGACAGTCAATGTGATAAAATAAGGAAGGAGTAATATCACTTTACCTCCATCCATCTCCCTTTTTACAAAATAAACTAGTCAGAAATATAATTACTATCACCTATTCAGAGACCATTGCAGGTTTGTAAGAACTATAGAGTTCATATTTTGCTACATTCATGATTTTCATGTTTTGGGGGCCAATTAGCCAACTAACACATAACACTACAAATGGCAGGGTTCTACACAGCCTGGAATAGAGCTGGACAGCTCAGATAGGAAGTATGAATTCATCTACAATTAACAGGAGGCATTACCTGTCCACCCTAGGGAGCTATGCTGAAACCACCTTACCTCTGAGCCCTGCTGAGCCCATCCGCGCCTTCTCTTGTTGGTACAGATCTCTCTGCTGCTGGGTGAGTGCCAAGGTCTGCCCTTTGCTGTGGTATGTAGTACAATACTTAATCACCTGTTCATAAGCACCCTTCATAAAACAAATCTCTGGTCTGTCCTAAGAAGAAAAAAATACCAAATCAATTCAAATTAATTTCAACTTATTTCAACTTGTACATATCCGTCATTGGAATCCAAGCACAAGTGGCATTCATTTCTCACAATCCCAAGGGAGTTACTCAAGCCTAAGGCTTTCAGTGGTACTTGAACTTTGACGATGAAGTTGATATGTGAGAACTTTCTGCATCCTATAAAGAAAACCGCATCCACTACTCCCCACCCTCACCTCCATATATTGAAGGCAGTGCTACATTAAAGCCCAGATTAGGCACTCCTAATTTGGGGAGATTTGCGGAGAGACTCACAACTTAACAGGAAAAGAAAAGATCTAACATCAGCCCACAAGCAATGGATCAGGCTTTCTTCTGTTGGCTGCTATTATATGTATATATGTGATCCCATTTAGTCTCATAACCATCTTATCATTATGGGTGTTATCGGACTTTTTTCTTCTATTTTTTCATCACAGTAAAGTAATACACAAAAGCTTACAATGAAAACCTGCAGTACCCTGCCCAAAACTTCTCACCTCTAATTCCACTCCAAAAGGGCAAATCAATTTAATGTTTTCCTTTGTATTCATCTCCTTGTTTTTAAATACAGAGGGTGCCAAAAAAAGTATACACATTTTAAGAAAGCAAAAAAAAACTGTATTAAAATTGTAATACTCAATATATACCGATAACAAAAGAGTACAAGTCACGTATATACATTTTTTTGGCACCCTGGTATGTTTGTACTGCTCCTTTTTCACTCATCATTTTATACATGTCTATTGTGACAGGTGATAGTCTGGCGACCCCCACTATGTATTCCTCCTCTCCACGCTGTTATAATATAGTTAAGGCACAACCTGGTCACTAGTAGTAGTCACTAGAACAGTTCATACACATCCCACTTCTCCTTGCAGGCACATGATACGAATGTATTTCCTTCCCCTCTCACACTCTGAAGTCAGGTGTGACGGGCTTTGGCCAATGAATATGAGCAGTACTTGTGTCTCTTCCAAATGGAAATTTAGGCACCAGTGCTTAATGTGCTCTTCCTCTGCCCCTGTTATGACACTGTGTGCTCACAGTGAGACAAAGCTTCCATTTGCCTGAGTCCCCAAGTAACTAGTGAGCAGATATTAGGGAGTAATATTAGGGGGTAGGAAGATAGCAAGAAGGCATGATGCTGTTTCCATGGCCTATATAAATCAAATGTATTTATTTTCCTGTTCAAGTTTTATCTTTTATAAAGTTAATAACTGCCCCTGTTTTTTATCTGCTTAGTTTTCTTTATACCTATTACTAATTATTCCAGAACTCTTTCATGTAATATAAAGTCTGTCTCAATGATATTTTTCAGATGATCAAATGAGCAGGTAAGTTACTACTCCCATATTATTACTGAAGACCCCCTCCTGGAGCCTTGTTCTCCTTTCCTTTTCTAATTTGAGTTGCCTGATTTCTAGGCCTGCTGCACCACTGGGATCTTGTCATTTCCTTTCTCCTTTATCCTGGTGGTTCTTCATCCCTCTCCTGGTTAAAACTCACAGTGTGCTATGTCTTCCTTTTCCTTAGTTTATTGTCTTATCATGGAATAACATATTCACCAGTATCTTTCTAAGAAAAGATGTGTGGAATAAACATTTTGAGACTTGCAATGTCTGAAAATATTGTAATTCCATCCCCACATTTGTAAGTACAGCTGGGAATAACTCTCTTCTGAATCGGAAGGCTTTCCTCTATTATCTTCCAGCCTCCAGTGTCCAGTGCTGCATTTGAAAAGTCCAAAGAAGGTATTTTAATTCCTAAATCTTTGTATATGATCTCCCCTTCGCCCTCCCTTCCACCCTAAAACCTCTGGAAGCTTTTAGAATTCTCCCTAAGTATCCTCCAATTTCTTGATTATTAGCCTCACGTTTACCCCTGAGGAGAGATTGTTCCAAGATGTGACCGCTACCTGACCCATGAGCTGGACGTGTGCCACAAGGGTGAGACTGCTTCCCGAAAAACCCCCCTTAAGAGACTGACTGCTCATAATCTATATTCGTTCTGTCATTAACCAGACCCTGTCCTTTGCCCCCCACTACGTGCTGGTTCCTGGCACAGGCCGTTTATCCTGGCCTGGTCAAGCATGCAAAGTAACTTCCCGTACCTGGTAGTTTTCACGTATTAGTACCCATGCCTAGCCCCTCTTCTGCCCTATATAATTCTTGGGAGCCTGCCAAGCAATGCTGGGATCCATTTCATCTTCCAGCCACCCAAGACATGCCTCATATGTAAGTTTCCTCTAACAAACTCCATTCATTACCAGGCTGCAGTGGCCAGCCTCTTTCTTCAGTCTTTCTGGGCCCTCCACTTGTGGAGGAAGATTTTCAGTCCCAGGACCTTTTCCAGGGTCTGCATGTATGAACAATATACTCCCCCTACCTCTCGTTAACATACTCATGCTGAGCAGCTGACGGGCAATTTTATTCTACAAGTTGAAGTCCTTCTTCTGGAAAATTTTCTGGTGTTATTTGATAAAATCTTCCCATTTTCTGTTCTCTCTTCCTGCCACTATTAGGTGAATTTTGTATCTCCTGTATTTATTTTCTGATTTTCATACCTTATCTTTTATATGGCCCATATAGACTTGTTCTACTTATAGATTCCTTGACTTTATTTAAGTTCTATTTATTCTAAGTTCTATCTATAAATAAACGTTCTATTTATTTTGTTGTCATTTTTTTATGGTCTTTGAAGATTTTCTTCAGTATCCAGCGTATCTTTGTTTCTCTGAGACCCCTTTCTCTGTTTGTTTGGTCTGTGTCTTTAACACTGAAGACATTCCCCAAATATCTAGCAATCCCTGATTGTCCATTTATATTCAAGACTGAAGCAATTAAAGGTCTAGAAGCTCTAGGGGCATTGAATGGCAGAGCTTATCAACCTATGGGTATAGACTGGAGATGAAGCCCAGGAGTAGGTAAGCTCTACCAATGAACAAAGAGCTTAGTTAGGAATACTCTACTGTGGAATCCCCCTGGGGCCAGTCAGCTTCTCTAAAACTCTCAGTCTTCTGATTTAGAATGAGGGTAGGGAGATACCTGCCTGCAGGCATTCTAAGAAAGTGGAGTTTGGGCCTAGAGGCTTACCCTTCAGGACAATGACTTGCCCTTAAGCACTCTGTTTTCAGTCTTAAGCCAATTTCATTCTGCCCTCCAGTCTTGTCCCCAAGATGAAATTTCTGATATTCTACAGGGGTAAAGGGCTATGGCCTCAAAAATCAGAAAAGGTACTTGGGGGAGTTAAATTGGTTCCTTACTCAGAATTTCAAACTAATCTCCTGTTTTTAGCCTTTGACCTCGGTCTCCACCTTTGAAGATACCTGATCACCCTGTCACCCTGAGTCTTTCCCATACTTTCTTTTTTTTAGTTTATATCTTTTATTCATTGGTCATTGTTTTGGCAGGTTCCAGGGAGAGAATAAATGTATATTGCTATGTTCAAATGAAAAGTCCTCTAATGACAAACTATTTGAGCCACTGAGGTTGTTTTTAAATTGGTAACTTAACTTTACCATATCTATGCCAGGCTGACCTCATCTAGATCCTGAGCCAAGTCAGTGGGTCTGGGTTTTGTTAGTTCCACTGGTTGGTTTTATTTTATAAGAGAAAGCCTTCAGGTCAGCATATGGGGAGAAAAATCACACAAATCTTTCCAAATTTATATCCTGCCACTCCCTATCCCCCATTTCCACAACCAAGAAGATTCAATGTACAACTTCCAATATACAACTCTGATGAGGTTGGATTCAAAACTGCTAAAGTCAAATCGTTAAACTTTACATGAGACACGTTATCTTGAAGTACTGTTTGAAAGTATATAAGAAGTAAAGAAAGAGACCTTCCAAATAAACTCATATATATATATTCTTGCTATATAACTTATAGGATCAAGGGATATCAGCTAAAAATTACCTTAATCAAATGCAATTTTTGAAATTATTAATCATAAAATATAAAAATAACAAATATATATCTTTAAGGGCAAAGTAAGTTTAAGCATCAAGCTGGTATACAGCAACTATGAGTGATATGACTACATTGTAGATAACTAAGAACTCTTACTACACTGTGTAAAAATTTCTAAAATACACAGGAACAAGGTAGTAGTTTGAAATATAAGTGCATGGACATTTTGTCAGTTTGTAAACTGGATTAACTAATATGATTTATATACATTTGGTAACTACTTTTCCATAAAATAATGTGGTTTAGTTGTTCTGAAGACAAGACATTCCTTTAGTGAAAGAACACAGATGTGCTGAAAGTATCTAATGTCACAAGCTTTAGAAGGCTGACACTAGGCTCCAACTCATTTCAGTTGTTTGTTCACATAGCAAAACTGGGTATATTTATGCATGAATTCAAAGAGAACGTGAGAATAACAAGGGATAGATATACTGTGAATTATACATAGTCTAAAGCAACAGGTCTTTGTTAGGCTTTGCTTTGTTGAAATCTAAAAGTGGACAGTAAATGAAAAATAGTCATCTATGTATGTTAAACAAAATATAACAGTATTCTTTAAATGAAAGGATACCTGCTGTGTTCGGTGAACACACTTAACAGCCATCCACTTTTGCTCAGAGCTAAAAGGATATTCAGCTTTTCGAATATAGTCCTGTTGAAGTCCATCAAGACCCATCTATATGGCACAAAAACAAAGTTAACTCTCACCAACACGTGACTATTTTCCTTTTAACTTGTAGCTGGGTTGGCTAGAGATACTTGGATTATTTTTCAAATAATGGTGACAGAACAGCAGTACTATATATATACATAAATATGATATATATTACATAATTTTATATATATATATAATATATACATTGATATATATATATATTGATATATATATAATATATATATCTATATATCTATATATTGTATATATATATATATATCATACTTTTCTGAACAGCAGCAATTATGTTCAACATGAAAGCCTGGGTATGTAGATAAAGTCTCAGGCATGCTTTCTGGACTACATGTAGACCAAATCTTCAACACTGACTATATTAAAATTTCTACTGACTCAAATTCTGGAAGGAAGCAGGATACAAATAAATAAAGGTACCCAACCAACAATCAGCAATAAACATTTATAATCAATAGACATTTCATATTCAATTTCTCACTCCTTAGGTATTCAACTCTATTTTGCTTGATGCTACTATCCCACTCCCTTAACACCCTCCACTTGATATTATGACTACTACTACTGTCAAGCAGCTGTTCTCTTCCCAATGTCTTCCACATTTTCCTCCAAATATTCAAAAATATTTTTAATAAACTACTCAAAAACCTAGTTTATTGCTTTTGGTTGACTTTTTATTGTCTTTTGAAACATGTTGAGACGCTTCTTCCTGGCTTTCAAAGCTCCTCCAGAAATCCATCATGTGGCCTATTTAAAAATCCTCTGGGTTATTCAAACTCCTTTCATTTCATCCAGGTTAACTTATTCAAAAGCCACAATCCATTCTATGCTATTTATTCCTCTTTGTTTTTACTCTTGCTCTTTTCCTAGCTTACCTACTACCTAAACCCTTCCTATCTTTCAAAGCCCAGATCCCAAGTCTGATTTTGCACTGTTTTTACATGTGGCTCAACTGGAAGCAATAGACAGTTAGGATGTAACTGTCTACTATCTTGGTCTTCCTTTTATTTGTTCCAAGCATATCAGTGTTAACTTCCTACCTAAAATGTGAGGTCCCCCCCCATAAGGAAGTGTTTTCACATTCTTTATCTCACAAACAGGCAAAGCTAAGTATAACACAGTAAATAACTGTTAAAAAATTCAACTTTTGAATATGTTTTAAAAAGCTATACTATGCTATTTTATTTATAAGAACAAATGATAAATGTTACTCTCTGTTAAAGAAACAAATTCTAAAAATATCAATTTTATTTTCTTAAATTAAATATATTATAATAACCTACATTTTTATATTGGATCTCAATTGGACCACATTTAGAGGCATATCCTGTTTCACACAAGTCTCAAAAATTTTTAAGACTGCTCTTAAAAGTAGGAATTTTAGGGCCGGCTGAGTGGTGCGTTGGTTAAGAGCTGGCTTGGGACACCAAAGGGCCCCGGTTCGGATCCCACATACGAAGGCCAGTGACACTGCCATCCACAGCTAAGATGCTGAACAACAGCTCAACCTGGAGCTGGGCTGCCCTGGGTCACTGGCGAAGGCGTAGGCTGCAGCCCCTGCTGCAGTGGGTTGCCATGGGCTACCGTGGGTAGCCAGCAACCGCTGTGAGCGGCCGTCCAGACGCCGGCGACTGATCTGCCTCGCCCGGGAAGAGTACAATGATGGTGCCAACTTGGGCCAGTGAAGCAACATCCTCCACAACTAGACTGAAGAACAAAAGAACAGCAACTTGTCTGTTCCCCTTCCCCCGATTCAGCGCTGTTCCCATCCCCCAATTCCCCAATAAAAATCTTTTTAAAAAAGTAGGAATTTTATTTTTGTTTAGGAGTAACAGGTTGGTCTTTAGGTTTCTCATTTAACCAAATGTGGGACTTAGGAGATCAACTGAAACAGATGAAAGGATCACTGAGAACAGCACCCCATCTCCTAACACAAATTCTAACTAGACTCATTTTTAAAAAATGGATAATGGAGAGAAAGAGAAGACTGGAAAAAAGAAAAGCTGATTTCTCATGATGTCCATAACATCTTCACGAAGAAATACTAAATAATGTTGCCTTTTACTCATTTGAAAGTTAGTATTTATCAGCAATTACACACATTTATAAAGCTTTTCACACAAAACTCTAAATATTATGGAAGACAGAAATATTTCCTCATAAGTAGAAATCCATCACTGGTCAATTAATTTCTATCTTGCATATAAGAGATAAAGTTATACTGAAAAAGCTCTATGCTTTGTATTTCCAGGAAGACTGAAACTGGTTCCCAAAAGGCAGTAAAAATAACCAATAGTGTGATTCTTTTTCACTTTATACCAAAGACCAGTTAATACTGAAATTGATGGCCTTGTGTTCTCTGGTAAGGGTGATGTCTTGTATGTTGAAAAAGAGATTAGGCACATACCTTCATTGCAAGAGCAATTAAGGCTCCCTCTGTTGGCTTCCCCATTAGAGTATTGTTTCTAATTACAGCATCATTGCATACACAGCCCGCCTAAGAGAAATACACAGAAACTATGAACCCATCACTATGTCATAAGTCATTATGAAGCAAGTCACCTTTCCAGAGAATAAAGTACTTACCTCAACAATCCTGCTAACAGCTGGGTTATAGAATCCATGAACAATATCACCATCAACAATTACTTCCCCAAATGGATTGTAGCCAACTCCAGTAACCTAAGGAATATAAAGTGGGGTCAATAATACAACCAGTAGACATTGACCATACTTAGGAAAACCAAAAACTATGATGAGTTGTGTTCATTTTATTTTATACATCATAACACTGTTAGCGCATATACCTAAAAAGGCATCTAAATTTGTGTAAAAGAACATTTAATAAAGGAATATAGATTGTAATTTTCACAATGATAAACCTAGTTAATTATACTAATAATTACATTAATAATTATAATAATGTACAGATAATAAGTAGAAACAATATAATTGTTAATATAATTAATATCTCAGTTTCTATTTACAATATTAAAAATACATATAAACGATGAAAATCTCTATGCATAAGTGAGCTTAAATTTATGTAATATTACATTTTACATAACATACTACAATTTGCAAAAAATTCAAATCCATTACCACATCTACTATTCATGACAAACCTGTCTGCAGAACTCTTTTTACAAGTATGCAGGCTCAGAGACATAAAGTGATTTACCATGGCACTTACAACTTGAACATAGCATTACACACCAGTTTTAAAAATCAGAGGCAGAAACAAGCCATATACTGATTCCTTATGGCTAGAACAAACCAAGCCAAACAAAGATTAAATTTCACAATAAAAATAGGACAGTTTAGAGAGAAATTAACAAATAGTTAATGCTTGACATATAAAATTATGGGCTTAAAACAAAAGAGAAACTTATATCCTGTATCTTCCATTTCTGGACCATGTAAATACATGTAACCCCAATGACCCTTCTGAGTCATCTAGAAAAGGCACATTCAATAACTTATCATTGGGTAGCCTTGACCAAATATAAGACCCTAAATATCAATAGTCTCATTTTAAGGCCTATGTAAAATAGAATTAAATAAACCTAGGTGCATCATCTGTCAATTTGTCTGATGCTTACTTTGCTCAGTTAATTGGCTATAAAATATTTTGAAACACTGTACCCACCATAAATAGTGTTAATAAACATTCCAGCCAGAAATCCTGCCAAGAGTAGGTAAGACTGAAACTTGTGTTCACCCAGCTTCAAAATTAACCAAAGCACATACACTGGCATGCTTTTAAAAGACTGCCAATATATAACTTTTAAAATAAAGTAATTATTATTTATTCACTTATTCTCTCAACAAGTATTTACTATTGTGAGTTAGACCCTGTGCTAGGCAACATAGTTCTTGCATTATTATAACTTATAGTACAATGGGAAGAGGTACAGGAAATTTTACCTGGACTAATGGCTGAGAGGTATGGAGTTTTATAAAGCATATAAAATAGGGCCAGTTCTGGGTGGTTAGCAAACCTGAAGAAGTGAGGTGCAAAGGATGAAGAGGCATTAGACTGTCCTCAACAGTGAGAACAGCAGCAAAGCTCCTGAAGTAGAACCTTTCTCACACTGAAAGAACTATAAAGCCAGTGAGCAAAGGGGAGAATTTAAGGCTGAAAGAGGAAATAATGGACAGAACACACAGGGCCTTGAGAGGCCAATGAAGAATCTTAATTTACAGAGTGACATGCTCAAAATTTGGTTCTAAAATATCCTTCAAGCTGCACATAGAGCAAGGGCATCAGGAGTTTGGTAATGAATGAGCATGGGGTGATTAAAAGAGAGGTGTCAAAGAGAATTCAAAGTTTCTGGACTGTACAACTGGAGTGTACAAGTGGAGTGAGATCAAGACTTGGTGGAATCACATGCACTAATGATACACTAGAACAATTAAGAATGTTAAACACCCAGTTTCTTAACAAAGGAACACTGTCATAAAAAATAAATCTATAGAGTACCTCAGCATGCAGACCATCTGAACTAAATATGTGAGTAACAGTCATTTCATTCTTCGTCAATGTTCCAGTTTTATCTGAACAAATCACATTACAGCAGCCTAAAGAATAAAACATTACATGTCACCAAAAGTCAAGGAGAAATAAAAGGTCACAATGAATACAAATCAAACACTGTGAATTTTGTACAAGTTAAGCTCACTGATAATTTTAGACTATTTATTCTCATCATGTTTGCTTCAACACAGTTTCTGAAACTAAAGTTAAAAATTAGATACTGATAAATGTTGACTTTTCCTTATTTACCGTTGAGTTTCTACAAAGCTACTCAGTATTAGCTTTATATAATAATTTTATATAATACATTTTCTAGAGTCTCGAGGGTACCTAAATATAAACCCATATAATTTATTCAATCAGTATTTTAAGGTATTTTTCCTTCTCAATAATAAAATGAAAACTAGAAATTAAATTTAAAAATTCTGGATTCCTAAATTTAAGTTTAAACTTAAAAGAAGTTTCATAGCATAAAGTTATCACAATTTTCATACTGCATATAAAGTTATGTTACAGCAATATGTAACTATTGTATACTTACTGTTCTTATCAGCAAATTCAAGTATAACATTTTAATATCTATAATTATCAATTATCTTTCTTGAGATGTAAAAAGAAAAGTTCTATTAATTTTACTCCAAGGTTTCATTTGTTATATGGATTTTTTAAAACACAATTTAATAATTACAGCATTCCATAACGCAGAAAGATTTCTCTAAAAATCCAGTCCTGAGTGATATGTATTTTTAGTTACTTTTTTGGTTGTTAAAACCATACTCAACATTGCCGCAAGCCTCTATGACAAAAATTATAAAACCCAAAGATAATTCACTGTTGATGTAAACTAACACATCATTGCATAAGTATGCTCTTACCACAGACTTACCCAGAGTTTCAACAATAGGCAGTTTTTTCACAATGGCCCTTTTCTTCACCATTCTCATAACACCAAGGGCTAGAGTCACTGTGACCACAATGGGAAGACCTTCAGGAATTGCTGCTACAGCCAGACTGTAACCAATATATACACAGTATTGAAGTTTAAGTAAAACAGCAACCACAGCTATAATTTCAATTGTCTGTTACTTAAAATAGTAGTTAATAAAAACGCAAAATTAATATTGTCAACATCTAAAAAAGGCCTCAAAAGAAAAGGAAAGTTGATTTACATTTACTGGACAACTACTAGCTGTCAGAGTAAGCAATAGACTATGAGTTCTAACATCAGATTGCGTAGATTTGTATCCGTAGCTTCACCAATTTTTACCTGTGTGACCCTGAGCTATTATTACTCCACCTCTGTAAATTAAATTTAGTTTCCTCATCTATATAGACAATAATAGACGTTGACACAAAACTTGTACATGAATGTTCACAGCAGCACCACTGACAATAGCCAAAAGATGGAAACAGCCCAAATGTCCAACAACTGATGAATCAGATATTGTGGTCTATCTATACAATGGAGTATTATTCAGCCATGAAAGGGAATGAAGTACTGACACATGCTATAACATGGATGAACCTTGAAAACCTTATGCTAAGTGAAAGAAGCCAGACACAATAGGACACATGCTTGTATCACCATCCAAGGGTTCACAATGTTGAGATTTCACTTATGTGATTCAATTTCACCCTCATCATTTTAGATCCTACAGTGGTTATCTCTTCGGATTCATCTTCTGTTCTGTCTAGTAATTGTGAAAATTCTTCTGCCAATTATTTTTTGTCATTGTGGTGGAAAATTAAAAATTCTGAATTCTCAACTTTGTTTAATAAATGCAAAGAAAACCCCACAAAGATTGTATCTCAAGACTTCTTTTATACTTTCTTAAATGTGATGTAATACTTTGGGCAACATAATAAAATTAAAGGATAATACAATAGTGATGATTTACTTCATTATTACATCAACGTATAAGCGATCTCATCATTCTTCTGCTTTCGCACTGTTTTTATTCATTTTTAGCACAGATAGAAATAACTGTTAAAATAATTGCTAGGATAAAGAAATAGCAAAATGTTTCAAGACAGGAAAATTAAGGCCACTAAAGATCCTACAACACATGTTAGATTTATGGACACATATGGTAATTGCAAAACAGAATGAGTTTTATGCTATTAAAATTTTAAAAATGTTTTGAGCTTTGGAAGACCTTGAAGTAGAAATTAAAATCACTGATTTGTCAACTTCACAAATAATAAGAACTGCTAAAAAAAAAAAATCAAAAGTTAAAAATGAGTCCAACAGATACTATGCCAACAGTTAGTATCTCAAACTCATGCTCTATTTTAAATTTAATTTTTATTTAACCCAAGGCTTTTTTATACAGATTTAAGCCAAGATTTTCAAACTGTATTTTTGCCCCTTTGAGGAAAAAATATACTCCTTCTCCATATCACAAAAAGCTTTTCTTCTTCATCCTACGTATTCCTTGTAATTCATTCAATTTGTTTTAATCCATTAATTTTTGTTCTAATTCTTGAACTGTTACTTCTTAGACCTACTACAGAGCTGTCATCCAGGATTTCTTTTCCTTAGATGCCTTGGTGAGCTCCACTCTTACACCCCACACATCATCATCTTCCTTTCTCTCACCCTTGTTTTGCTGGAATTCATACAAGGATAGGTAAGGGATAAATTTTCTGATTGCCTGCCTATCTATTTATAAATAACTGGATTGATACTTAGCTAGGTCCAGATTTGTAGACTTAAAATCCTCTTGTACTGCCCCATTGTCTTGTAATGTACTTCAATGTTACTGTGGATGAAGGGTTAATAAAATCCTTTTCCCCTTCTGTATTGGTTAAATCTCTAGCTCTGTTCCCTAGTGACCTGATAAGGGTAGTATGTCAACTACGTTGCTAGGCAACACTGCTTATGATCATGGGATCTGCCGACTGATAAACTGTCTATGGACAGTTTATAATTATAAATTATAATTACCTTATAGGAGGTCATAGCTTTGGGTTTCTTGAGTGTAGTGACTCATAACTAGACATAAGTCTATGTTTCCAGAGATGATGGCTCCTGTGGAATATGAGGCATTTTTTTTACCTAGGGTATCTCCTGCACTCACAAGATCATCTCATCTCCTTGTCCTAAGCTGAACTGCTGCACAACCTGCTGCAAGGGCTCTCTCAGAAGAGGGATACCTAAAATTGCCGATTTGACCTATGAAAGCCTCGTGAGTTGAAATGTTTAGTAGAGCCTAAAAAGACCCTGTGATGGAAATTGCAGTTGCTAATGGGAAGTCTGATACCCATCTAATTATCCTTCCTTTGTAGATGACCTGATTTGTTTGCTTTAGTTTCACAATGGTGTACCTAAGTTGGAGTTTTTTTCCTCCTGGGCAGCATTTAGAGAATCCTTTCAAAGTACAGTAAAACCTCAGATTGCAAGTAACTTGGTTTGTGAGTGTTCCACAAGACAAGCAAACATTTCTAATACATTTTAACTTAGTAAACGAGAGCTGTTTTGCAATATGAGTAGTTTGTTTCCAGAACGAATTATGCTCTCAAACAAAGTACATTTTAACGTGGTAAATAAGCGATGTCTTGCAATTTGTTCCAGTTTCTTCTGGAACAAATTGTGCTCACAAACCAAGGTATTACTGTATAAAGATTCATGTCTTGCTTCAGATTGAGAAACTATTCATTTATCATTTCTTATATATTTTCTTCTTATCTCTCTTTGAAACTCCTATTAGTTAAATATGGTATTTATTGAATTATGCTTTGTCACTTTTATCTCATTCTCTGTTTTGGACTTTTTACTCTACTTTTTGGGAGACCTCTTCAACTGTAAATTACAGCCCTTAAATTGGAATTGGAATTTCAGCAATCATAATTTTAATTTCTAAAAATTCTTTTTTTGTTCTGTGATCCTTTTCTATAGTCTATCATGAATACAGTTTCTTCACAACTCTCTGAAAACACAAATGCTGTTTATTTTTAATTTTTCTTCTATTTCTTGAATTTTTCGTTTTCCACTGAAATTGATTATATTGTGGTCTTTCTCATGCTACTAGTACTCAGTTTGTCAATCCTTAATTGTCTATTTATATATAAAAATGCAACATTGGCTTGATAATATCAGACATCTAGTGTGGGTTTTCTCCACTACCATATATGTTGGTTTTCATTTTCCTAGACTTCATTTTAATATATGAATTCTGAACTATTTAAGGCGTGATTTTATATCCTATGAGCTCATATATTACCTCCATAATGAAACACAGGCAATGCCTATCAGAGAAATGAAAGGCAAAACAGGATTATTTTATAAACAAACCATTAGAACTTACCTTACACTAATAGTAAACATTTCCAGGATATCTTTTCCTAGTAACCAGCCAACCAACATGATGATACCTGGAACAGAATCAAATAGTTATTTTTCCCTTTTATATAAAATCACCTAGGTGTAGAAGGGATAGAATAACAAACTGAGGGCAGCCTAAAAGTTCCTTGATATTAAAGGGAAAGTATATTGATCACAATTACAAGAATTTACAAAATACCATTAAGCAGGAAGATTAAAGTTAATGCTGCTTAAAGTTAATCCTGTGTATACACACTGCACACATATACACAGCTTTACCTTTTGTTGCCATAGCTGCCACCCATCCCTTAAAGCAATAATATGTACCTGAGAGATACTAGTACAAGAAAACATTATTGGTACTTTCATACAATGGGAAAAAAAAGAAGGTAGCATAGGACATACACAGGTCTTCTATTTATTATCAGCTTTACAAAAGGTATTTCAGTTACATACATCTCCATCCTGTCCACCAAGTTTATTATATATGCTTCAAAGGTAATTCAAAAATTAGTGGAAAAAATACTTGTAACTTAAGCAAAAGATAACCTAATTATACAAAGAGCCATTACCAATCTAAGACTCTAGCCATAAGAAATACAAAAGAAATAGATTGGCAGGTCATAAAAATGGACCAACACACTTATGATGAAGTGTTCAGTTACTCTTACAATAAATTGTGAAATAAAGTAATGAGAAGTCTTTTATTCACCTATTAAGTTAATGACAAAGTTGGCAGTGTTGTAGAAGAGGGACATTCTTACTTTAACCCTGTTGATGAAGGGTATTATTTGGCAATATAAAACAAAAGCCTTTAAAAACATGCCAAAATTTAAAAATTACACCGGATACTATTTGACTCAATAATTTGACTTTTAAGAATTTATCCTAACAAAATGAGGAGTATTTGCAATAAAATATTTGCACTGAAGAATCATTTACATAACTAAAAAACTCAAAAAAACCTACATAAATGTCTAGGCCTGACCCTGACACACACACACACACACAAACACACACACTCTCTCTCTCTCTCTCTCTCTCTCTCTCTCTCTCTCTCTCTCTATGTGTACTATAAATGTATGGAATACTATAAAACTTTTAAATTTGTTTTAGGTGAGCATCTATTTAATGACAAGATGTTTAAGATCTGTGAATGGACATGAAAAACAAAAAAAGAAAAGTAGTCCATAAAACAATACTATCACATTTTGTTAAGACTAGAAAGACAAATACCATGTTTTCAGAAATGCTCTTTGATTATAGGAATTAAACAGAGTTCTGTTTCATCTTGTAGAAAAAAACAACAGCTAGGGGTTAGATTTATAATTTTAAAAAAGCAGTAATAAAGCTAAAAATTAGTTAATTAACTAAATAAATTTATGTATGTATCTAAACTCCCCTTCCCACTCAAAAAAGAAAAAAACAAAAAGAAACACAAAACTGTAAGTAAATACATGAGATATACATACTCACTCTTCTCTTACCTATTATACCAAAGGAATAAAAGGAAAGTTGCTTTCCTAAGAGGTCCATGCTCTTCTGCAAAGGGGTTTTCGGTGCCTTGACAAATTGGAGAAGTGTGTCACCACAATTGGCTAAATTTAATAAGTTATACTAGGTACCCAGGACTCTGCTAAGTGCTTGACATACCCATGCTGGTGCTTCACATTCACAACTCTCCTTTAAGCTAAATATTACCCCCTTCACTGAGGAAACTTAGGCTTAGCCTTTTAAAAATGTTTATCTGAAAAAATCCATGCTCCTATACCTCTTTCAGGAAAAATTTGTTCTTCCTATAAACTTCTCCAGGACTTCATTACTATCAGCTGCCCCTCACTTTTCCCATCTTTCTCCTTTCTGTATCCACAAACATGCGTGTAACCCAAGTCTTTTTATCCTGTTGGCTCCCTAATCTGCTAACTCCTCACTCTAACAGTCCCCTCACTGCCAAGGTTCTTGAAACGGTCTCTACACTGTATCATGAACACTGGAGTCTTGGCAGGTTAACTGAGAAATCCAGATGATTTGGGGAGGATATGACATTTGTAGACTGCAAGCTCTATTTTATATATAGGAAAGTATTTTAAATCAGAGAACTAATCTTCAAAATGCTAAAACAAGAATATCTTCCACATTTTATTTAGCAATCTTTTTACCTGTTACTTGGAATTACGTAAATTTGGGAGTTTTGGTAGAACACATGTTCTGAGGCACAAATACACTTGCAATCTTTAAAAGTAATATGATAAAGCTCATTTCAAAAAAATTAGCCCTATAAATAATTGGCTACAACCCTTTTTATCCTATAAACAAACCTTTATATCCTACAAAAATGCCATAAACATTTATTAAAATGTTTTAGAATATTAACAATGCCAATCCAAGCCCTTCCAAATACAGGATTTCCAATTATGTTTTTAAGCACAGACTAACTGAATGAGATTCTGAATAAAATATTATTTTCAATAGTACATAAAATAATCCACCAATATTCTCTCTTCCTCCATTTATAATGGAGAATGTCAGGATTGAAACCAAAACATCATTAATAAGCTAAGTACTCACTTCTTCTGCTTGCATCATTTTAAAAACCTCTCCAAATTCAGAATTTTCTCCTGTTCCAATGACAATACCCTAAAGGGAAAAAGAGGAAAATACATTTATATTCAGATGGAATCACCTCTTTCAACTAAAAAAACCAAACCCTTCATTCATTTTTTCAAAGCCTTCTGACATACATGCTGAAGGTTCTTTTAGCAAATTTACTTTTTGATGGTATTAACAGATCAATAGGTTTTACACCTTAAACCTTGAAAACAAACATTTCATTAAACTTATTATTGAACTCAATTCTGAAGCAAATTTTTTGTTTATATTAATATTTCTAAAATTTCAATTTTATACTCAATGGAGACATTTAATGTAGTTTCTTTTTTCCCCTCAAATGCTATTGAATGATGCCTTCCTTTTATGTTTGTGAAATATTAGAATTCAGGAAAACAAAATATTTGGAATCAATCGGTAGGTGAATGATAGGTAGTCAGAGTATTATAGCCAGTATCATAACAATTAAAATTTTATTTAACCAATAATGAACATATCCATGAGCAATTTCTATCTAATAAAAAGAATAGGTACTGAGGACTCTGCTTTTAAAGGATCCATTATCTGGTAAGTGGCAGGGCCACGGACAGCCATATTATGCCTCAGGGACACAGACTCTCCTCAGTCACACAAATAGCTGCCAAGAGTTAGATTCAATTCTGTCATGGCTTTGCCTCATATTTTGAAAAGATCCACATAAAATCAGCAAAAAGGAACTGATAAAATGGTTGAAAACAAAGGAAATGCTATCTTCAAACAAGAAAAATAATTACCTTTGCTTTGCCACATCTGACCAGTGTTCCCATGAAGGCAATGTTACTTCTTGATGCAAGATCTCCATTAGTTGCAGCCGGCTGCGGAGCTGTCACCTTAGAACAAGGTGTTGTCTCTCCTGTCAAGCTGGACTCATCAATGGAAAGATCCACAGCCTTGGGGAACACAAAGCATTCCATTCCATTCAAGTTTGAAGACTCTCTCTACTACATTAATACCTAAAGAGTTTGTAATTATCACTTCTTCCTCAAATATCCCTATTAATTATCCTAATCTCGTATGGTATCCATTACTCTAAAACAGAAGAGCATAGTAGGTGAAACCATACTTAAAAATGAAGTTAAGTCAACCAAATCTGACATGCAAAGTAGAATGCTGTAACATGAGACAAGACTAGGCTCAATTTCAAAATACAACTAGGGAAAAGGAGATATTAGCTGAGGCTTAATCTTTATCTAGAGAAAACTCAACTCTCATGATAAAATATTATTTCCCAATTTTCCCATGACCTAAAGTTCCAAAAATGTGTTTGGCAGACTAAAACCAACCATAATAGAAAGAAAGTATGAATAAAGGGTATAAAAGTTACTGAGAAAGAAATCATTTCATTATTTTGGGCTCAATTGTCATGAAATTCTTCCTGCTACACATTCCTATATTTATCCCAAATGTACATTAAGCAAGAATAAAAAATTTATATGTTATAATTTCAAATAAGTAAATAAATAAATGTACATAAACATTTCCATGCAGATCATGAATATATTATCTTTTAACTCTGCAACAGGGTTCAATTCTGAGGGTTTCACTCCTAATACCATCAAAGTATTCAGCTACCCAAGCATGCAAAAAGGAAAAAAAAAATTAAAAATCAATATTTCATATGTGGAAAGCACCACAGATGTGACCTACCTCTGTTTCTAAAAGTATGGGCCACAGAACAACAGATTCAAGTCATTGTGTATAATGTGATAGATGATTAATAGACAGGCCAACGTGCACACATATATATGAGGTATGATCACAAAATACGGTGAATAAATTTTAAGAAATTTATTACAGTAAAAGACACATTGCCATTAATCCCCCTCAAAATACTCCCCCTCACTTCAAACACACTTATCCCATCGTTCTTGCCACTTTCTGAAACAGTTCTGGAAGTCCTCTTTCATTAGTGCCTCTCGTTACACTGTCGTGGATGCCTCGATGTCCTGAATCGATTCAAAATGTTTACCTTTCATGGACATTTTGCCTTTGGGGAAGAGCCAGAAGTTTCATGGAGCCAGATCCAGTGAATAAGGTGGATGAGGATATACCATAATGTTTTGATTTGACAGAAATTGCCGTGCAGAAACGATGTGTGACCCGGAGCCTTTCCGTTGTGATCACAAAATACCGTGAAGGCTATTATTGCTTAGTGCCATCCAAAGGAAAGGCAGGGATCTTCAATACAGGAAGTGGCACATCGAACCTTAGTAACAGTGTGTGACAAGTTTCAACTTGTTCGGTGCATTTGGATGTGAGGCATGGCTAAAAGAAGGAATGTTTTAAAGTATGCTGTAAATCATCCTTCATCATGACAATGGTCCATGTCACACATCACTTCTGGTATATACAAAGAAGTTTCTGTCAAATGAAAACATTACGGCATGTTCTCATCCACCTTACTCACTGGATCTGGCACTGTGTGACTTCTGGCTCTTCCCCAAAGTCAAAATGATTCAAGACATGAAAGCAGCCATAACAGAGCAACTAAAGCCACTTACAAAAGAGGACTTCCAGAACTGCTTTAGGAAGTGGCAAGAACGATGGGATAAGTGTGTTTGAAGCGAGGGGGAGTATTTTGAGGGGGATTAAAGGCAATGTGTCTTTTACAGTAATAAATTTTTTAAAATTTAAACATTCCCTGTATTGTTTGATCACACGTCATACACATATACTAGATACAAGGGAGGGGTACTATGGTCAAGTAAGTTTTAGAAAAAGTTAAAACAGCTTGCCCTATGGCAATGCTTCTCAAACCTCTCAATACACTAGGGAGAATCACCTCAACAGAAACATAGATAGAGCCAGGGTTAAAAAAGTGCAGTTCCAGCAGGACAAGCATCACCTTTACCACCTCAGAACTTGTTAGAAATTCAGTGCCCACCTCAAACATGGAGATGGGGAAAGGAGACCTAACAGACTATACTTACCAGCCCTCCAGCTGATTTTGATGCACAAACAAGTTTGAGAATCAATGAAATAATGTTTCCCAAACTTCTTTGATCCATTTTATTCCAGAAGCTCTTATTCAAGGATCCTTAGGATACTCTTTGGGAAACTAGGACCTAATTCATGATTTCCCTCACCCAACATTCACTGACTACCTTAACTATGTACCAGGCACGGGGCTAGATCATAGAAAAGAAAAACGATAAGGAAATGAACCTAGAGCAACTGAATAACTGTGCAGTCTCACTGCTGTAAGTTAAGCTGGTGTCCTCAATCAGGCCTCTTGACCAATAATTCATACTATATACAAAGTACAGTAAAAACTTGGATTGCAGGTGTTCTGCAAGACAAGCAAACATTTCTAATACATTTTAACTTGGTAAACGAGCGATGTCTTGCAATACAAATAGTTTGTGTCCAGAATGAATTATGCTTGCAAACCAAGGTATTAGTGTATTCTAAACTTTAAATCCTACTTTTCTTTTTTTTTGTGGGGGGGGGGGATGGTGGAGCAAGATAATTAATCTAGTCTTTTTAAAATGTTTCATTTTTGGGGCCGGCTGAGTGGCGCGATGGTTAAGAACTTGCTTGGGATGCCAGAGGGCCCCGGTTCGAATCCCACATATGAGGGCCAGCGACACTGCCCTCCACAGCTAAGATGCTGAACAACAGCTCAATCTGGAGCTGGGCTGCCGTGAGTCGCCGGCAACGGTGTAGGCTGCAGCCCCTGTGACAGTGGGTTGCCATGGGCTACCGTGTGTAGTCAGCAGCCAGCGTGAGCAGCCAAGCAGCCACAGTGAGCGGCCGTCCAGAAGCCGGCAACTGATCTGCCTCACCCGGGAAGAGCGCAATGATGGTGCCAACTTGGGCCAGTGAAGCAATGTCCTCTACAAATAGACTGAAGAACAAAAGGACAGCAACTTGTCTGTTCCCCTTCCCCCAATTCCCCAGCACTGTTCCCATCCCCCCAATTCCCCAATAAAAAAATCTTTAAAAAAAAATAAAAATAAAAATAAAAAATAAAATGTTTCATTTTTATGAGCATAAATAGCTTAAAAATCTCATAGAAATAATTATTTAAAATTGGTCCATGGATTCTTTCTCCCCATCTATGCAACAAAACTATGTTTTAATTTGATCAATTGCAATGATTCATTCACTTAACAAATATTTATTAATGTTTATAATGTGCCAGACCCCTCCCTGTATATCACATAGGGTGAGAATTAGCAGTAAAGAAAACAAAGTTCCTGTCCTCATCTATTATTCTAATGGGAAAAGTGATTTGAAAAATAAACAAACAAGAGAATATAATGCTTCGTAGTGGCAGAAAACAGCATGATAGGGTGGAAAGCGACATTTTAGATAGACAAGAAAACATCTCTCAAAAGTAGATGACCCTTTGACAAAGCTCTGATTCACCTGGGGGCCCTAAGGCTGGGACATAACTAGGGAGAAAAGATACTAGACACAGGGAGCAAAAAGTACAAAGAACATGGTGGCAGGAATATCGCTTGGTGTGTTCTTGTGCTAGGCAGACACAAAACTTTGCAAATATACTTAAGAGTTTATATTAGGTCATAAAATTTAAAAATTTTCAGAATGAAAATAAATTATATCCTATAACTCCAAAGAGATCAAACTGTATTAGCATTTCCTGAAAGTTTTGTGCCATGTAAATGTGATGAATTTTGGTATTAACACAGGCTTATAAAAAGTATACTTAAAACACAGGTCAACAGTACTTGAGTCTTTAAAAGGCTTCCAGTCTTAAATAATTATGTATGCAAAGACAAGCCAAGTAAATTTGGGCTCATTACATGAACCCAACTACAGGTTAAAAAAAAACAGCTGCCATGTCCAAAAGCAATGGAAGTTTATTAATGGAATATATTTATTTGACTTTTCTTTCCAAATTAATCTTAGAACTGTCTACTTTCTCACAACACATTTATTACCAAAAAAAGAAAAAAAAATTAGGTCTTTCTTAAAAGATGATGCTAATACTGAAAACAATCAGCTGGCATTTCATTGCTGCTATATGGTAGGCACTATGCTACATACCTATGCTAAGTGATCTAACAATTACTTAGCTACTAACAAGTGCAATAAGGCAAGTACTATTATTATTATCACCCCTATTTTACAGGCATTTTGAAGGTTCAGTTACTCACCCAATATCACCTGATAGAGTAAGCTATGGAGATGAAACTCAAATGTTAACAAATTAACTCCAGTTCCTCTTAAAGAGGATCAATTTGTAAATTATTTCTTCTCTCCAGTTTTATAACTACTTCTAGGAGAAGACATTAAGCAAAGATATATTTCAAAAATTAAATATTTTTGTGAATTACAGAAATCAACAAAAAGTTTATTTTATTTCGCTATCTCCTCTTTAATGCTTTTACAAAAATCAGAACTGCATATAATTTTCTGAGCCCTTAATTAGAAAAGAATCACTAATATTTAAAAGCTAACAAAAACTTGTATACATCTACAGAACTCCTTCTCTGAGAAAGGTGAAATTTATATTTTCCCATTGAAGACTTTTTGCTTTAAATGTGAATCTTAAACATGGATAAATACTAACATTATGTGGTTGTCTATAGGGACAAGGAGTATAAAAATAATCTGACTTTTTAAAAAGAGAGGAAAAGCATGGCATTATTGGCTCTGCTGGTGCATGAGCTCGTCAGTGTCAGCCTTAGCAGTGCAGCAACCATTTAAGAGAGTAAGAATTTTTGTTCAATTCAGGTTTTTTTTACAGAAAAGAGGCCTATCATTTTTAGCAAAAGAGCAATCAGTCTTGTCTAGTGTACAAATTGATGGGGAAGAAAAAGGTACTTTGGATCCTTACCTTTTTTTCTGTAAAATTATAAATTCATAAAACTCAAATTATCAAGAATATATTATCAATGAAATTTGTCTAAATCATGCAATG